GTTAGCCAGGATGGTCTCGATCTCCTGACCTTGTGATCCGCCCGCCTCGGCCTCCCAAAGTGCTGGGATTACAGGCGTGAGCCATCGCGCCCGGCCAGTTTTCATGTTATTTTAAACTGATATACCATAATATTCATTTCTCTAAGGGCATTTCAAGTTGGTTCTACATCTTTTTTCTCTTTTTTTTTTCATTTTTTTTTTCTTTAGTAAAGCAGCAATGTACTTCTTTGTACAGGCGTATCTTGGAGATACGTGGTTTTGGTTCCAGACCACATCACAATAAAGCTAATCTCTCAATAAAGCAAGTCACACTAAATTTTTGGTTTCTCAGTGTACATAAAAGTTATGTTTATACTATACTATAATTTATCAAATGTGCAATAGCATTATGTCTAAAAAAAGTACATACCTTAATTAAAATACTTTATTGCTAAAAATGCTAATGATCATCTGAGCCTGCAGTGAGTCCTAATCTTTTTGCTCGTTGGAGGGACTTGCCTCAATGTTGATGGTTGCTGATTGATTGGGACTGTAGTTGCTGAAGGCTGAGGTGGCTGTGGCAACTTCTTAAGATAAGACAATGATGAAGTTTGCCACATCAATTAACTCTTGTGAAAGATTTCTTTGTAGCATGCAATGCTGTTTGATCGCATTTGACTTACAGTAGAAATTCTTTCAAAATCTCTACTTAATCTTCTCGAACACAGCTGCTGCTTCATCAACTAGGTTACTGAAATATTCTAAATCTTTTGTTTTCATTTCAACAATGTTCCTAGCATCTTCACCAAGAGTAGTTTCCACTTCAAGAAACCACTTTCTTTGCTCTTTTATAAAAAGCAACTCCTCATCCGTTAAAGTTTGATCATGAAGTTGTAGCAATCCAGTCACATCTTCAGGCTCCACTTCTATTCTAGTTCTTTTCCTATTTCCATCACATCTGCAGTTACTGCCTTCTCTGAAGTCTTGAACCTTTCAAAACCATCCAGGAGAGTTGGAACAGACTTCTTCCAAACTCCTGTCAATGTGCATATTTTAGCCTCCGCCCATGAATCACAAAGGTTCTTAATGACATCAAGAAAATCAGAAAGTTTTCAATTTACTTTGCTAAGATCCATTGGCAGAATTACTATCTATGACAGCTATAGCTTTACAAAATATATTTCTTAAATAATAGGACTTGAAAGTCAAAATTACTCATTGATCCATGGGCTGCAGAATGAATGTTGTGTTAGCAGGCATGAAAACAACATTCATCTCCTTGTACATCTCCATAAGAGTTCTTGGGTGATCAGGTTTATTGCCAATAAGCAGTAATATTTTGAAAGGAATCTTTTTCCTGGTCATTAGGTCTCAACAGTGGGTTTAAAATATTCAGTAACCCATGCCATAAACAGATGTATTGTTATCCAGGATTAGTTGCTTCATTTAGAGAGTACAGGCAGAGTAGATTTAGCATAATTCTTAAGGGCCCTAGGCTTTTCCGAATGGTTAATAACTCTCTCTCTCCCTCCCTCTCTCTCTCTCTGTCTGCCTCCCTCTCTCTCTCTCTCGCCCAGGCTGGAGTGCAATAGTGTCATCCTGGCTCACCACAACCTCCACCTGCCAGGTTCAAGCAATTCTCCTGCCTCAGCCTCCCGAGTAGCTGGGATTACAGGCATGCACCACCATGCCCGGCTAATCTCGTATTTTTAGTAGAGACAGGGTTTCTCCATGTTGGTCAGGCTGGTCTCGAACTCCCGACCTCAAGTGATCTGCCCGCCTCGGCCTTCCAAAGTGCTGGGATTACAGACATGAGCCACCGCACCCAGCCCAGAAACTTTTTTCTTTTGCCTTCACAACTTGGCTGTTTGGTGCAGAAGGTCTACCTTTCAGCCTATCTTGGCTTTTGACATGCCTTCCTCACTAAGCTTAACGGTTTCTAGCTTTTGACTTAACGGAAGGATTGTGTGATGTTTCCTTTCACCTGAACAGTTACAGGCCATTGTAGGGTTATTAAATGGCCAGATTTCAATATTGTTGTGTCCCAGGGAAATAGGAGGCCCAAGGGGAAGGAGAGAGATGTGGGAACAGCTGGTCAGCGGCGCATCAGAACACATACGTTTATTGTTAAGTTGGCAGTCTTACACAGGTGCAGTTTGTGGTGTCTCCAAACAATTATGGTAGTACATTAAAGATCACTGATCACAGATCACCGTAACAGATATAATAATAAGAATTTGAAATAATGCAATAATTACCAAAACATGACACAGAGATATGAAGTGAGCACATGCTGTTGGAAAAATGATTCCAGCAGACTTGTTCGATGCAGGATTGCCACAAACCTTCAAGTTGTAAAAAATTGCAGTATCTGCAGAGCACAATAAAATGAAGTATGCCTCATTTTCCCAAGTATTTTATGAATTTTCGTGGGTGTTTTTAGAAGTGGAATTTCTGTTTCCAAAGATTTTCTTGGTCCTCCTAGAAAATCTTTATTTATTTTTAACTTTTATTTTTTTAGAGATGGGGTCCTGCTCCATCACCCAGGCTGGAGAGTAGTGGCGTGATTATAGCTCACTGTAACCTTGGACTTCCAGGTCAAGTGATCCTCCCGCCTCAGCCTCCTGCATAGCTGGGACTACAGGTGTGCACCGCCACACCTGGCTATTTTTTTCCCAATTTAAAAACATTGTAGGCTGGGCGTGGTGACTCAAGCCTGTAATCCCAGCACTTTGGGAGGCCGAGACGGGCTGATCATGAGGTCAGGGGATCGAGACCATCCTGGCTAACATGGTGAAACCCCGTCTCTACTAAAAATACAAAAAACTAGCTGGGTGAGGTGGCGGGCGCCTGTAGTCCCAGCTACTAGGGAGGCTGAGGCAGGAGAATGGAATAAACCCAGGAGGTGGAGCTTGCAGTGAGCTGAGATCTGGCCACTGCACTCCAGCCTGGGCAACAAAGCGAGACTCCGTCTCAAAATAAAAATAAAAATAAAAATAAAAAATAAAAAAACAAAAACATTGTAGTAAAATATACATAACATAAAATTTACTATCTCTATTTTTTTTCAGTGTATAGTTCAGTAGTGATAAGTAGTTCACACTGTTTTGCAACCAATTTCCAGAACTTTTCCATCTTGCAAAACTGAAATTCTACTCATTTCCTCCTCCCCGCAGCCATCGTTCTACTTTTGTTTCTGTAAATCTCACTACTCTAGATATCACGTATAAGTGGAATCATACAATATTTTTCTTTTTGTGACTGGCTTATTTCACTTACCATAATGCTCTCAAGGTTCATTTATGTTGTAGCATGTGTTATAATTTCCTTCCTTTTAAAAGCTGAATATATTCCATTGTATATATATACCACGTTTTGTTTATTCATCTGTTGATGGACATCTGGGTTGCTTCTACCTTCTGGCTATTGTGAATAATGCTGCTATGAACATACATATACAAATGTCTTTTCAAGACCTTGCTTTCAATTCTCTTGCCTAGAAGTGAAATTGCTAGATCATATGGTAATTCCATTTTTAATTTTTTGAGGAACTGCCACACTGTTTTCCATAATGGCTGCACCATTTTACATCCCAACCAGCGGTGTACAAAAGTTCCAGTTCATCCACATCCTCACCACCATTTGTTGTTTTCTCTTGTTAATAGCAGCCATCCTCTTGGGTGTGAGATTATATCTCATTGTGGTTTTGATTTGCATTTCCCTTATGATTAGGTGTTGAACATCTTTTCACGTCTTTTGGCCATTTGTGTATCTTCTTTTCAAAAACATCTATTCAAGTTCTTTTCCCATTTTAAAATCAGGTTATTTGGGTTTTTGTTGTTGACTTGTAGAATCAAAGAATAGAAATATTTTTAAGGCTTCTGATAAAAACTACAAAACTCAGTTCTAGGAGGGTGGCACCATGTTACCCAGCCCATAAGAGTGCCTGTGATACTGTAGCCTTATCAGCACTGGATAATGCAATAAAAAGAACAAACAAAACTTGACTAATTAGTAGGCAAAATATGGTCTCATCTTAATTGTAAGCTATGCTTTCTCATGGAGGCAGAGAGAAGAAGTAGTCAGCAAGCTCCACCACCATTCCACTCACCAGTAACATCAGAGGGACTCTTACGACTCCCAAAAGGTCTCAGCATCCCCCTGACTCATTAATTACTCTGTATGCTGAGTATTAAGACCCAGCCCTGTTGGTCCTCCTAGAAAATCTTTATTTATTTTTAACTTTTATTTTTTTAGAGATGGGGTCCTGCTCTGTCACCCAGGCTTCAGAGCAGTGGTGTGACTATAGCTCACTATAACCTCGAACTTCTGGGTTCAAGCAATCCTCCTGCCTTAGCCTCCTGAGTAGCTGGGAATACAGGTATGTGCCACCATACCTGGCTGATTTTCCCCCTAATTTTTTAGAGATAACATTTTGCTATGTTCCCAGGCTGCAGAAAACCTTCTGATCAGAGCAACTATATTCTTTATGCACATTAACTATCAGGCTTATGTCATTTCTGTGACTCTTTTTGGCCTATTTTCTTTTTCCAATAATTCTAAGACACATCAATATGCAATCTTTTCTTACTTTGTTAACTAGCTTAAAATACTAAAAAATTAGATGTCATGGGATAGAATCTTTTTCTTTAAATATTAAGTGTCAAGTTTGGGAAACAGAAAATGCATTAATTACTTTAAAGAACTACCCACTGACAGTCACATTGTTTTCCATAAAATAAAAAAAAATATGTCATTTAGGAAACAGACAATCTTCAATGACTCCCTCAAATACATAAACTTTACATTGAGAAATGAACTCTCAAGATCAAGAAGGTGGTAAATACATCAAATAAGCCAATGAATGAGGGCATACCAGTACCAAATTTAGAAATGGTATACTTGAATCAACTGTTTTTGGTTTGGACTGAGTTTCAAATTTATACTTTTAGTTTTAATGTTATCATGCCTGTCACATTTTTAAAAAATGTTCCATACTAATAAAAGAACTGCAATAGTAGAAAAATAGAGGCCAGAATAGCAAAGGCACTAGTTTCTATTCTTGTCTCTCTGGTTTTCCCTGGAACATTGAATTCAGTTTTGGATTGTGCTCTCTGACCAAGCTGGCGAGGGGCATATAGGGAAGAGTTAGTAGAATTGGGCATGTATGGCCCAGAGATAAGACTCAAGAGGATCTTTCAGTTGCTTTGATGATCAGAAGGGCTGATATAGCTTGGATATCTGTCCTCTCCAAATCACATGTTGAAATGTGATCCCCAAATGTTGGAGGTGGGGCCTAGAGGAAGGTGTTTGGGTCCTGGGGGTGGATCCTTCATGAATGTCTTGGTGTCCTCTGTCAGTCCTGAGTTCATATGAGATCTGGTTGTTAAAGAGACTGGGACCTACCCCTCTCCCTTGCCCCATCTCTTGCTATGTGACACGCCTATTCACCCTTTGCCTTCTACCACAGTAGAAGCTTCCTGAGGTCCTGACAAGAAGCAGATGCTGGCACCATGCTTCTGTACAGCCTGCAGAACCATGAGGCAAATAAACCTTTTTTTAAAATAAATTACCCAGTCTCAGGTATTCCTTTATAGCAACACAAAATGGACTAATACAAGGGCTGGCAAGGGAAAGACTCCAACAAGAAGAACAAAGATGAGTGTCTTGAATTTGCGAGGAAACTCATTTCAGCTCCAATATAAGAACACATTTTCTACTTAGAAATCTCCAGAGAATGAGAGTGATCCAAAGCAGGACAGCTGAGCCACGAGGCAGACAGCATTCACAAAAAGTAGAGGAACCTCTCCTGGAGGATTGTCACGGGGGAAATTCAGACACCAGGTGGAGGCAACAGAGATCCTTACAACTTAAAGATTTCTGGATCCTCTCATTTACTCTGGGAGATACTTAATTTATGCTTGGAATCACCTATGCATAGAAAACCAAAACTCACCTGCAATGATGGCACTGATTGTAAAGAAAATATGATTAACTGGCACCACTCTTGTCGTATTGTAGAGTTTCGTGGCTTGATTCAGGAACCTAGAGCAGAAGGCACTTACTGGAGCTTTGGCTTTAAGAGACATTCAGCAATAAGTTAACAATAACTTCAAGAAACGCGTGTTCTTTAGCTACAACTACAAAGGGAAAGGAGGTGCAGTGAAAGGGCATTTCCAATCAGCAGTCATAGCTTATATGCATCTGATGTATGAGATCAGATGTCAGGTTTTATGGTCTGTTTAAACCAACAACAGTAACAATGAAAAGCAATTAATCATATTCCGAGGCCACAGAAGTTTGAGTTGGAAGCGATTCAAGCTGCTGGACCAGTATCACACTGGGCCTGATTCATTAGGATAGACCCTAGAATCTGTTAAATATCATATCTGGGGAATAGTAGAGCTATCCATTGACATGCCACGTGCCAAGAAAGAAGATGGAGAAGTAAAGGAATGTTTAATGTTTCAAAAACAATGCTCAGTGCTCCAGCTGCAGAGCATATGTGGGAGCTCAACTTCTCATTCTGGCCACCAACACAAAAGCAGTTCCCACAACTGTGCTGTGCTGCCCTGCTCGGGACTAGATTGTTTTTTGAAGCAGTGAATTGTACTATCACCGGGGTGCTTTTAAAAAGCACGAATGCTTAGGTCCTACTCTAGAGCAATTGAAAAAAGTACTTTGTGGGTAGAGCCTGTGTGTATCTCTGTGTGTGTGTGTGTGTGTGTGTATACACACACATATGTAGGTATACATAAATGCATGTATGTTCTTATATGCCTGCAGGTACGTATATGTACAAAAGTCAGGTCATATACATGCACATACATATATATGTACTAAACCCAGGTCATTTTAATGGACAACCAGGGCTGAGAACCACAGTTGTACAGTGTGATGGGTGCAGAGATTGAGACAACGGTGACAGAATGCAGTTTACCCCCAATTGTGTCTGCCTGTCAAATTTACAAAGTATGGTATGAAGATAATGTCACTAATCCCAAAAGATATTGTGGCAGTACCAATTAATTCAGAAGAAGAAAGAGAAAAAAATAGCAAAATACAAGTATTAGAAACACAGACTTATAAGGAGATGACAAACCAGTGACAAAACATTGGGTTTCTCCAGTAATTCTCCACAGACCTTGTAACAGGGCCTATCTTCAGTCCATAACAATTAGATGGTACTTCTCGCACCTACAGAAGGAACCACTCTTGTACTGATTTTGAGCTCTGATTTCTTATCTGGGATGGTGCTTTTGCATAGCATTTTGGGGTAAACAGAAAACTTTCAGGTCAACTCAAGAAAGCCCAGCAGGCAAAGGCACAATCCCAGTGTGAGAGATGGAGGGGAAGGGATCAGAGCTGATGGAGGTCGGGGCAGGGAAGAGCAGAAATTAAAAATGTTCCATGTCACCACTATTAGGCCCCAAGAGAAACATAAAACAATCATTCCGCAATCCCATGGATACAAAGGAAATTCTGGCCAAAGATGCAAAATTTTGGGGAAAGGATTTCCCTCCCGGCCAAATGTCTGGTTTCGTCCATCTCTGGGCAATTAGTGAGCATGAGCTAAGAAATGAAGGTGAAGGGTTCATGTGTGTCCTATATTTAGAATGAAAGCCTGGATGTGGACCTGCCCCTTTGATTTATTGCTAATGACAACCTGTGTACCACGGATATTAATTACAAGCAGAAGAGCATCAGGAAAGCATCAAAGTGCACTTAGCTGGATTAAGGCTGCGCTTTAGAACTCACAAGACATGAAGGCAACGCTTTGTAAAAACTCATTATTGGATGCAAAGGAGGAAGCAAGGCACATTGACGGAGGACAAGCTACAGGCCCTTCACCCTTAGAAATCAGTTGTATCTCATTTTAATTATCATCTGAAGTCAATAAAGATTAATGCCCAGAGAAGCACAGGAATGTTGAAAGATTAGTGAGTATGCAGAAGCTAACTTACTTGACTTGGAAAACACAAGATGCTATCATGATGATAAACATGATATAGAAAATGGGATAAGTTAGTTGCATTTTATCCGTCATAGAAAAAGTGATCATGCCTGAGACGGCCTTTACTGAAATAACAGTCAATGAGGCTGAAAAAGAAAACAAAAAACACAAAGAACATATTTGAGATTGAATTAACAAATAAATATCTTAAGCTTATGTGGTAGAGTAGCAAATACACCAATTATGGTTTAAGAATGAACATGGTTGTGGGAGGTGTAGGAAGGAATGTGACAGTAGTAAGCAGTGGCCTCATTGCTCGAGCCGTGCTGGATTTCAAATTTGCTTAAATCAGCTAAAGTTCTGCTGTGTGACTGTGTGCTTTTTTTTTTTTTTTAATCTTTGGAGCAAGATGCTTCTTTTCCAGCCCTAACTGTTGAAAGAATGCTGTGGAGGTTATAATTACGAGTAGATGGGAAAGGCAAAAACAATGGAGGGAGGAGATAAGAAAAGTCAGATTGTCCACGTGACATCAATGAGAAAAATAACTATTAAGCTATACTGAAAATTTAAAAACCAAATAGATGAGAAGACTAGAAAGTGAAATGTAACTCACTTCTTGAATTTACTTAGAGTTGTACTAAGTCATTGCTTCTCAGCCTTTTGGCTAAGATCAAGTGAGTTGTACTAAGTCTATATATAAGCCTTTTTGTTAGGAGACACCTAGAAGTTTCACTAAAAATATTTTTGACAATGACAATAATTGGAAAGAGGACCAGAGTTGAGTATTCATTTCTCAGCGTGGACCATCAATTTAAGGTTTACATAAGCAATAACTACGTATTTTCTATGCTAAAGATGAACTCATCCCTTATGAGAACAAACTTTTCATAGGTTCCAAACAGCCATTAAGAAAAAGTAACTTGATAAGGTTATATCAATATGAGAGTAATGGAACATTTTCCGAAAACATCATCTTTCTGTAAGGAAGAAAAGAATGCCTTCTGTCTTATGTCTCTTGAAGTTACTGCTGCAAATAATTCCATAATTTAGCTAAAATTCACTGAAAGTTCAAAAATAATTTTTACATGAAATCAAAAAATTATAAGTCAAAGGCAATGCAAAGGAGAAATACTCCCTTTGTTGCTGTTGAACTACTTGGCCATAATATATCTGAATTTTCCTCCTTTTATTTGAAAAGGTATTTTTTTTTTATATATATATATATGAAATATATATACATTTAAAACAGCGAGTGGTGGCCAGCCAAGAAGAGTCTTCCATAATATCGTTTTCCAAAAACTGAAAATATACTTTAACTTGAAGGGTACTAGGGCACACTTCCAAATTAGGCATTTTCTTTCAGTTAAAAATCATAATTGGCCGGGCGCGGTGGCTCACGCCTGTAATCCCAGCACTTTGGGAGGCTGAGGCGGGCGGATCACCAGGTCAGGAGATCGAGACCCTCCTGGCTAACACGGTGAAATCCCGTCTCTACTAAAAATACAAAAAATTAGCTGGGTATGATGGCAGGCGCCTGTAGTCCCAACTACAGCTAATCTGGAGGGTGAGGCAGGAGAATAGCGTGAACCCGGGAGGCGGAGCTTGCACTGAGCCGAGATCGCGCCACTGCACTCCAGCCTGGGCGACAGAGCAAGGCCAGACTTCGTCTTAAAAAAAAAAAAAAAAAAACCATAATTGAACAGGAGATCAGGTAATAAATTCTAAAAACAAACCCCAGTTCTCAACAGAGGCCCTTACAATCAGGTCTCTCTCCATCTTAAGATGTCTTTTGACCTGATTCTTTTACATATTTCCTATTGATTATGCCAATAGTCACATCTTAGCTAACCTAGGCACTTTAAATAGCTATAGAGATCTGTGTGTCACTTGATGGTTTAAGTTTGTAGGTTAGCTCTTGAGGGACCTTGATTCCCTCCTAAACACTGCCTGAAATCAGAGCACAATGTGATTATGATCTTGTGGTCTGAACAGCCAGGTTTCCCAAAGGGACAATTAATGGAGAAGGCGTTGAACGTACGGTTCCGTTAGCCTCAGAACCTCAGAATTGCAAAGGACTTTAAAGGTCATCTGATTTAACCACATCTGATTTTATATTATACTTAAATAGAGATAAAAACAAAACTAGAATTCTCTGTTATTGATAGCTAAACAAACTATCAATTTCTGTAGCCAATCATTATATTTTCAAAGCATGTGCAATTGTCAACTGATTAATCACTATTTTAACCTGTAAGTTATTTCTAGGCTGGTGTTGAGTACTTCTAAGTATTTTTGGGGGGTAGTTGATGAGGATAGGTGGAAATACAGAATTGTAATGCAGTGTTCTTCTAACATTATACTTAAAAACAGAAAGTACTTAGGTAAACACAGAAAAAAAGACTAGAAGAAACTACATCAAGATATTGTCAGTGGTTATCTCTAGCACTGGGATAATGAATTAACTTTAAATTCATTAAAAAAAAATCTACAAAAGTAAACACATTCATTTAAAAATTTTTGGAAAATGTGGAAAAGCCTGGAAAGGAAAATTAAAATCACTTGTAGTTTCAGCACTCACCCCAAATCATTTTTGACATTGGGACATATTGTTATTTTCCTATCTATAAGTATGAATATGTTACAACATGTGAATCATAAGGTATATACTACTTAGGAGCTTATTTTCCAAGTATATACCACTTAGGAACCTATTTACCTAAAGTAAATAGGTTTTACCTAAAGTATTTTCTATGCCATTAAGTATTCTTCTAAAGCATGGATTTGTATGAATTGTATATCCATACAAAAGCATAAAGAATGCTTTTGTATGAATATATAATTTATTTTGGCAATTCCCTATTTTTGGATATTTAGATTGTATTTTTTTTTTAAGTGTTAAAAGTGTGGCTGTGATGAATATTCTCGAACATAAGTCTTTGTATATCACTCTGCCTATTTCCTTAGGAAAACCACCTAAAGGGGAATTCCTGACTACAGCCACTGTGAGGGCTTGTGAAATATACTAGCAAACTGCCTTCCAGAGAGTACCAGCCACACTCTGTTGTACAGTGCTCAGTTACACAGATTTTCATATTTTTCTTTGTATCTTTCTCTATTTTCTTAATTATCAATAATTACCATATATACTTTCATCATTAGAACAACACCATTTTTTCTAACCTGTGCTGACCTGTTCTTGAAATTTGGCCCTCTCAATTCCCTCTTAGATTTTCATCAATATACCTCCTTCCAAAAATTTTCCTAGGTTGCCATCAACGTTTCCTTATGAGAGCCATAAACATTTTATTTATTAATTTATCTCTGATAACCAAAGCATTCCATGGATAGAGAAGGACTTCCTGGCCTTCCTAGTTTCCTGACGGTCCCAGAGGCTTTGGAGTACTTTCTTTTTTTTTTTTTTTTTTTTTTTGAGATGGAGTTTCACTCTTTTGGCCCAGGCTGGAGTGCAATGGTGCGATCTCAGCTCACTGCAACCTCCGCCTCGTGGGTTCAAATGATTCTCCTGCCTCAGACTCCTGAGTAGCTGGGATTACAGGTGCCCACCACCGCACCCAGCTAAGTTTTGTATTTTTAGTAGAGCTGGGGTTTCACTATGTTGGCCAGGCTGGTCTCAAACTCCTGACCTTAGGTGACCCACCTGCCACGGCCTCCCAAAGTGCTGGGATTACAGATTGAGCCACCGCACCAGGCCTGGAGTCCTTTAAGAATGATCACCACCACTGGCCAAGGGGGCCACTCACCAGAAGTCAGGTTTCTTTCTTCTGACTACCCTCACTTGCTATTTTCTTTTTTTTATTCCAGTCTTTATCAATCACACAAGCAATATTATGTATTTTGCTACCTCTCATGGATACAACATGACTTCGATAATCACTTTTTTAAAGGGTACTAATGCCCATTGTGCAATATTCAAGATGAGCACACGGTGCAGAGTGAGCATCCTGGTTCTCATTTCTTGTTGTAATGAGAACACTTCTGGTATTTCACCAACAAGTTCTTTATTAGGAGTGCATATGAAACTTGATGAACTATATTAATGAATTTCTTAAAGAATCCCTCTTTCATTCCCATAGTTAATTAAATTCACATGTTTACTGTGTGCTCACTGTGCTCAATTCTACTTAAAGAATGTATACTGTAAATTTAGACATGCTCTATGTCCTCATGTAGCTAACCTGGCCAGGAAGAGGGGCTCATAACAGCATATAAACATATAAGTAGAATATGTAAGTGTAAATTGTTGTAAGTGTTACAAAGAAGAATCAGTTTTATTAAGACCACTTGGGCCAGGTGCGGTGGCTCATGCCTGCAATCCTAGCACTTTGGCAAGGTGAGGCAGGCGAATCACTTGAGCCTAGGAGTTTGAGACCAGCCTGGGCAACATGGGGATACCCTGTCTCTCCAAAACAAAAATAATAAAAAATAAATAAATTAGTCAGGCATGATACCATGCATCTGTAGTCTCAGCTACTCAGGCGGCCGAGGTAGGAGGATCGCTTGAGCCTGGGAGTTTGAAGCTGCAGTGAGCTATGATTGTGCCACTACACTCCAGCCTGGGTGACAGAGCAATGCTCTGTCTCAAAACAAAACAAAGACCACTTTGTCACTGAGTATGATTTGCTCTGTGTTTATTTGCTAATTTTTTTTTCGATTTTTGTATCAATATTTAGCAGTGATATCAGTTCATAGTGTTTTTTGTTTGTCCCATTTTTTTCCCAGTTTGGGAGGTGAGTCTTACCTGATTATATTTTTTTAAAAGTAAAAGCTTCCTTCTTATGTCCTCAAATAGTTGCAACAACATCAGAATAATCTATTCCTTAAGGATTTGAAGATACTACCTTTGGAACTCTCTAGGCCTGGTTCTTTTTTAGGATATAGCTTTTTAACAACTCCTTTATTTCCTCCGTAGTTATTTTCATTAAAAAATAAGCAATTTATTCAAATTATATATATGCATATCTATTGTTTCTATTTTGGGGTATTTGTGGTTTTTCTTTTTTTCTGATGGAGGATCTATTTTAGTGTTTTTTTTTTTTTTTTTTTTGAGACGGAGTCTAGCTCTGTCACCCAGGCTGGAGTGCAGTGGCGCGATCTCAGCTCAGTGCAAGCTCTGCCTCCCGGGTTCACGCCATTCTCCTGCCTCAGCCTCCCCATTAGCTGGGACTACAGGCACCTGCCACCACGCCTGGCTAATTTTTTGTATTTTTTAGTAGAGACGGGGTTTCACTGTGTTAGCCTGGATAGGATGGTCTCGATCTCCTGACCTCGTGATCCGCCCGCCTCGGCCTCCCAGGGCTCTGGGATTATAGGCGTGAGCCACCACGCCTGGCCTATTTTATTGTCTTTAAGAACACATTGTTGTGTTTAGTTATAAATCCATTACTTTTCTCTATTCTATTTCATTAATTTTTGTCTTTTTAATTAATTTTAATTAATTATTTCTGCTTTCCTTAGTTTTATTTCAGTATTTTTTCTAATTTCTTGAGTTGAGTGCTTAATTGACTTACATTTAAAGCAATCAATTTCTCTGAGTACAGCATTAGTCAGAAACTCTAGGTTTAATATTAAGTGTTTTAATAATAATTAAAAAATATGCTGCAATTAAATCTTGGTTTCTACTTTGCACAGTTGCAGTTTAAGGGTAGTGTTAACATTTCCAGGTGGTATGATTTTACTGGTTTCTATTTTTATTATTATTTTTCTGTTTTTATTTCACTGTGATCTGAGGATGTGGTCTGTACTCTTTCAACTTCCTGGAATTTATCAAGGATTTCTTCATGGCCAATTATATGATCAACTTTTGTAAATGTTACACAGGCACTTGAAAGAAAGTTTATTCTCTGTTTTCAGGCTTTAGAGTTCAATATTACAGGTACCAGTTCATGATTAATTATTCAGATCCTCTGTCTTTATATGGTTTTCTGTCTAATTATCTTCCATGAGCTGAGAGAAGTCGCCTAAACCCCTTATATTTCTGTTAATGTAGTTTTGCATTTTCTGCAGATTTTCTGTTGCATGTTGGATATGATATTTTTGTGGATTGTGCTCTTTCTGTCAGGATAAATTACCCCTTTTGTCTCATTTAATATCTTCTGCCTTAATTTTCATTTAGTAATATCATGACCTGCTTTGTTTTACTTTCAACCTCATTTATTTTGTTTTAGATGAAAATTTGTGCATGTAGCCAAAACACTTTGCCATCGGCAAGGGCCAATCAGAAAGGGTGCCGGCCCTGGCACTGCTGGAAGAGGGTCCTGGAGGGCTCCTGTCTTAGTACTTATGACAGGGTTGGGGTTGAGAGGAGGAGATCTTAGGGGAAGGAAGGGTGGTGGCTGCTATTTTAATAACCCTTACAGCTGTACTAGTGCAAATTGGCTGAATCCAACTTCAGAATCATTTTCAAAATCAATCTGGAAGTTTCCCTGACATCCAATTTGAGAATGTTTCTTTTTTTTTTTTTTACTAGGTAAACGTATTCCATTTACATTTATTATAACTGCTACACATTATCTTAATTCTGTTATCTTACATTCCTATTTAAAGTTGTCTTCATTTTCATTATTTTCCTATATAAGGTACATTTTGTTTCTTAGATGTCTGCTTTTGTTTTCCCTATTTGGTAATTTGGAAAGAAACAAATATAAAGTTCTCTTTCTGTTCTCTTGATCTACAGCATACCTGAATATAGCACAGAGTACATTTGTTTCTCTAAGTAACTATCAAAAACACAAATTTACTAGCACAAAGGAGAGAACTAGTTGATGAGATGGGAACATGAAAACCCAGCAGCTCATTACGATGGAGGCTACATGCTGCCCCAGGGGTAGGAGTACGGCCTTCCAAGTCATGGCAAACAGCACACGATGCGTGGGCCATCTGACTGGCAAAGAGGACATGAAGGAAGATTTACAAATATATTTTTATAAAGGGAATTTCCTAAATGATTAGTGAGATCTCCTAGTGTTGGTATATATGAGTGAGAGAGTGTGTGTGTAGGGGTGGGGGAAAGAGAGAGAGAGAGAGAAAGGGGCAGGGACAGAGAGACAGAAAGAGGCAGAAAAGAAGGGAGTGAAGATACATTAAAAAATACATAGTGGGCTTATCTAAGCACTATTTTCATCTCTAACAAGGTGCCTCTGGAAAAACAAAGTAAATGGGTTGGTAAACAATGAATGCAAGAAATGTGGTATTTAAGAAAATCATACTGCTTATATCTACATTTCCTATTAGTCATATTACAAAGTTTTTAAAGAAAATATTAATAGTATAGGTCTTGCTAACCAATTCCTGACACAAGAGTTTCAATTGGGATCATTAATTTGTTTCTCTTTTAAGATTTTCAATTACTTATTAACAAAATATCTTCAAATTATCAGGGAGCAAATAAAGTTATCAAGAAGCAAAAAATCCTTAAATATATTTTTAAAAGAATTAAATATCTAACCAATTGCAGTAATGGACAGGCAATATATAATTTTTATAATTTAGACTCAGTTTCTTCCTGTAGATCAGAGCTGAAAAATATAAACAATGAGAAAGGAGTAGAATGCTTAAGTATTTTCCTTCAAACCTCATTTATGATTCAGCACAGCTCAATTAAAGAATAAGAAAACAAAATGTGCCTTTACCTAGAAGTGCCACCAGGGTTAGCAGAATCACCATGTGCTTCATTCCTTTTCTTTTGTAGAAATATAGGAGAATGCAGAAAATTAATATTTCGAAAATCTAGAAATGAAAAAGATGAAAAAGAGTAAGTTATTCTACACAAAGTCTTCAAAATGTCACACTTCTCATTTTGATTTTTGCAGCAGTTCTCATATGAGAGTTGAGGTTGACTGAGGTTCCTAGGGACGACACAGGAGAGCAGCATAAGCACCTCGGCCATCCAGACCCGGAGCTCGAACACCCCTCTCCGCCAGTGATGCCCAATCTAGATCTCCAGTCCTAACCTCCCTGGGAGTTCAGCCTCATTTCCTCAAGTATCTACGGGACATTTCCACATGCATGTTTAATAGACACGCCACAGTAATGTGGGTAACACCTCCCACTTGATTCTCTACCTTCCCAGCTTGTTCCTCCAGGGCCTTTGCCCTCCAGTTAGTAGCATTCTCACACTCCCTGTTGCACAAACCCCAAACCCTTCCCTTTCCCTCACTCCCTGCCTTCCTCTCTAGACAGCTGCATTTGCTTCTCACTCATCTCTGATTTTACTCTTGCCTCTCTATAATCCAGCCATTCCACAGCCAGAGGAATCATTTAAGAACACAATTTGGATAATGAAATATTTTATTCATGGAGAACATATATGATACACATCAAAGGGATTTAGAGTAATATGACAGGCACTCACAGATTCTCTACCCAAACTAACAAACAGAACCTACTGACACCTCTGAAGTTGCTCATGTGCCCCTCTCCAGCTGCACTCCCCTCCTCCTTCAACCTCCCCAGGAATCACTATGCTGAAAATTTGTGATTATTATTTACTTTCTTTATAGTTTATTGCATTTCTATGTGTCCCTAAATGGTACCCAGTTTACTTTTGCATGTTTGGACTTTATACAAGTGGACTCATACTTGCTTTCACTCGTTTGTTTTTTTCCACCATGTATTATATTTGTGCCATTCTTCCAGGATGATGCATGTAGTAAAAATATAAACTAGACCCATTCATTCCTTTGCCGAAACCTCCTGTGGTTTCCTACCACATTTAGAATAAAACCCAAACTTCCTTCTGGATCACAAAGTTTTAGGCAACTCCCTGGACCTCATTTTGTACCACTCACTCCTGGATGGTCCACTCTGTGCCAGCCTCATGGCAATTTTTAAAAATTCTTTTTTTTTTTTCCTAGTTCTTTCCAATCTTCAGATTGCCCCTGCCTGTGGGCCTTTGCACTAACTGCTCACTCTGCCTGGAATGCTCTTTCACTGATCTTTGCACAATGGCTCCTCCAAGTCACTCAGCTCACAGGTCAAATGCCACCTCTCTGAGAGTTCTTCTCTGACTCTTCTGATCTAACGGAGCCACTCATTATCCTGTCACACCCCCAGCTTCAGGTCGCAGTGGAGCATTCTGCCATCATCATTTCTTGTTCATATGTTTATGTGTTTCTTGTCTGTCTTCCCTACTGGAATGCCAGCCCTAGGACAGGAATCTTACCCACTCTTTTTGCCACTCAATATCTGGTGCCTGGCACACAGCTGGTCACTCAATGAGTACTGATGGAATTAATGAGTAAATCACACCTCAAATTTATTATGAATAAGTCGCCAAAAAAGACCTAATGTCTAAAAAAGTGACTGTTCAATAAATATTAATTGACTAAAAGTCTAAAATTTTTCTGTCCTTAAGAACTTTAGTGTAATTTTGAGTTCTCAGTTTTATTTTTGTTTTAACTTTTTTTTTTTGGAGATGGAGTCTCACTCTGTTGCCCAGGCTAGAGTGTAATGGCTCGATCTCGGATCACTTAAACCTCTGCCTCTTGGGTTCAAGCGATTCTCTTGCCTCAGCCTCCCAAGTAGCTGGGATTATGGGTGCCTGCCACCACACCTGGCTAATTTTTGTATTTTTAGTAGAGACAGGGTTTTGCCATGTTGGCCAGGTTGGTCTTGAACTCCTGACCTCAAGTGATCCACCCGCCTTGGCTTCCCAAAGTGCTGGAATTATAGGCATGAGACACCGTGCCCAGCCCAGGCTATTATTTTTGACGAGATAGTATTCTTGGGCTGAATTCGTAAGTGTGAATGTTTACTTTTCTAACAGCAGACAGTACCATCACTAATTTTTTTTCTCTTTTTTTTTAACCACAGGAGTTAGGGACTTCACTATTTACAGGAATGCATTCTACCTACAATGCCTTCTCTAAATCAACTTAAATTTGTTTCCATTCAAGGATTTGCTTGTGGGTTTGTTTTTTTCTCTATTCCTTTGTGGGCATGGGAAACAGCAGGCCCTTATCTCCCTCATTAAAAAACCTTTTCATCTAATACGGAAGATGAAATCATCCCTTTGTCTTTTCTTCTCCTGGTAAATTAAACCAATTATTTTAACTGTTTCTTATGGGACTTATTTGCCAGACCTTTAATTTAATTGAGTAGTGCTTTACAAAAGCTATTAAACTTGTATCTCTTTGCCTTCCCTAAAATGGCCATCAAAACATTGGATGTCCTAATTTCTGTGCATTTCGCCAATTGTTAACAGAAATATCCCTCTGGGCCTGGTCTCCCCTCCACCACAGGCTTCCACTTCTCACATGAGACAATTATAGACAGTTCACAGCAGCGTTTGGGCCTCTGTGTTTGTTGTGGGAGAAAAGAAAGCTCTTCCTGCATTAACACACAGAGCCTGTTAGGTAAATCAATTATCATGCTGATTATTAATTTTTGCAGGTATTTGTTATCAGGTCTAGAAACCATGTATGACTTTTTTCATGTGTGGGCAAATTCCATCTCTGTGGCTTCAGATAAATAAAACATGAGTTCCCATTATTCACAGAATAACTATAGTTGCCCTGGTTCTGCCTCGTGGCAAGAAGTCACACAGCTCCTAGGAATAAAATATTAAAGCAGTATGAATTAATGCTGATTTTTTTCTAGCAACATTTTTTTTTCTCCCTGAAAACATCAATATTAAAGAAGCTGTGATTTCTGCAGGTTGCGGTGCCCCAGGAAGGGGCTGCATTATTGATTGCAATCTCACAGGTTAGAAAAAGTAACAGCACTTACTGAGTCCCCCGCACCCTGTGCACTGTTCTCAGAGCTTCCTGTTACGAATTCATTGAATCCTCACAATCACTTAGGAGGTAGGTGCTGTCATCGGTTTACAGGTGAGAAAACTGAGGCTCAGAGGGGCAAAATGATGCAGCTCTGATAGGCAGCATGATGGCCCCATAGGAGTCCCTGGTCTAATCTCCAGACGCTGTGAAGATGTTACTTTACATAGCAAAGGGGTTTTCTATTAGGTTGGTGGGTTGGTGCAATTCTTCCTTCCTTTGTTTTCTGTACCAGATCAGAGGAAAAAGTTCCTGGGCCTTGTACCTGTGAGGCTTCCATTTAATGTAAGCCTTGAAGGAAAAACAGACAATTTTCAATTTTCCCACTGAAAATAACTACCTTCAATGGGAAAAACCTCAATTACTTTTGCACCAACCTAATGCAAAGAGCACTGGCAGCTGAAGGGGTGCGTGGCAAAAGAGATAGACAAAATTTTAGCACTGGATGCCCCACTGCCAGTACCAATATCTGAGCCCGATTTGACCTCATCTTGCCTCACCAAGTTCTCAAACGCATAGCCTATGGCCTGGCATATGGCTTCTCTGTCCAAAAGAAATGAGCTCTGCAAAGTTTCTCTCTAAGGCCATATTTGGACAAAGATCTGATCCTTGGTGGTCGGTTTATTAATTCTGCAGAGAGGCATTGAGTGAGGCGTGTTGGCATGTGCACCCCAGAAGTGAACAAACTGGTTTTGAGTTTTGGCTTTATCACTTAGTAGTTATGTGACCTTCAACAAGTTCCTGGGCCTTCCCCAGCCTCAACTTCCCCATCCATTAAATGCAGAGGATAACAGTGTCCCATGTATAGGGCCAGTGTGCAGGTAAAGAGCAGAATGTAATCTGAGCTAGACGTAGGGCTCAGTCACTCAGAGAGTGGCTGCTGCTACCAAAGAGGTGGACTCTTGTGTGGACGCACAAGTGCTATTTGCATTCAGACAATAAAGCAAATAACATCATGCCATAGATATTGATATCCTATAAAAACATACAGTTTTCTCCCTTAGGTTTCTAATACCTGATGGTGGGTTTTGTCGCAGCTTTGCCAGAAAGGCTGACTTAATAATCAGGTTTAGGGTACAGAATGACACCAAATGACAGGCTTGGCCCCAGCATCTGCTGGTTTAATTTTTTTGTCTGAGAGAAAATGAGCAATGTGCAGATTATTTTGTGAAGGATTTTATGTTCACAAAAGAGGTTTCCATTTGAATAGTCTTTTGGAAAATCTGGGTGAGCAAAATAGCCATGACCAAGCCTGCCAAAGAACATGAAGTAATTGAGAATTAGGGCTGCATTTTCTAACGTGGTTTTTGCAGAACACGTTTGCTCATAGGTATTACTCAACAAAAGGTCCTTCCAAGAAAAGGGCCTCATGGTCGAAGTAGCCTGGGGCATGTAGGACAAACAAAATCAAACCTTTCTCATTCTTACAGGACTTCTGGCTTTTAACATGCTAACAGAGATGATGAATTTCTCAGACAGGCCATGTTATGCAGAATTTTCCTCACCTAGTTTGACCTTGAAAATCCCACTTCTCTTTGTGTTTTGGCAAGGATCGGGATTGTCCGTCTGTGGCAGACGGGCTGGGAGAGGCTGTTTCAGTGAGTGAGTGGAGGGCACTTTATTCTTCTCTGGCTGGTATACACTGGGCTTCTCAAATCTTCCTTCCTTTCTTTTCTGTACCAGATCAGAGGAAAAGCTACTGAACCTTGTTCCTGTGAGGCTTCCATTTAATGTAAGCCTTGAAGGAAAAACAGACATCTGTCTGGGGCACGCAAACACGCCAAACAAGGGGTTGATGTGAGCCAGTGGGTGCTGCAATATTATAATTCCTTTTGTGAGAAATATAAAATGTATTCAGGCTTATAAATATTTTAGAAGTTATTTGATCAGTCCTGAAAGCCAATTCAGGTGCTCTTATTTATACTTGGTATAATACATAGAGTTAGATGAATGATATGTCAAAGAATAGTCTTAATTACTGTAATTATTATCTTTGCAGTCAGGGCTTGCAGAAAAGCATAGAATTTGCCATATCTGAGGATTAAATATTACTTAAGTGTTTAACAGATTCAAACCAAATTTCAGCTCACAATCTTAGTATAAAATACATTACTTCTAGAGTCTTTAGAGATGCAATTATATAATGGATTAAATTACAAATGAATATTATATAGATCTAGTTCCCTTAGGGTCTAATGCCAACAGTGTTATTCAAAAGTAATTTTATTAAAGGTTTATTTTATGCTATGTTATAAATACCTGAAATTATTTACATTTTTCTCTGTGGCATTTACTTTCAAATATACTTTCTTTATCTTAATATGATTTTTCAGATATATGGGTTTCTCCCAGAACTGTAAAATTCCTGCTACGGGGATTCCTGTCTCTAAACTTGGTGTCTAATCACCACTTAATGGATGAGTGAATAAATGGATGAATAAATTTATTTTAAGAGTTGATTTTGGAAAAATGGCAAACTGCAACTCATCTCAGTACTTTTTGTGAAAATATACAGTTTAATAAAAAGTAGTTTGGATCTCTTCAAATGTTTTCTCTGGTGTTAAAATAATACAAGATACAGCATCATTAAACAATGCTGTTTATTCCAGGAAATAAGTCTTGATGCATCTTTAATATACAAAGGATTTAACTCATGCCATTAATTTTCTGGTTTCAGGCTATGTGACCCTTTTCTTAACTAGATGAAGAATTTATTTTGCCTGCAGGCGAAGAGTAATAATTTGTTGGTAGGGCTTCAAGTCTGGATTATCATGAAATTTTCTGTAAAGTATAAAAGACAGAAGTAAATCACAGAGATCTAGTGCTTATCATTGACTGACAAAAGCTGTGATAATTAAAGAACTGAGTGCGGCATAGAAGTAGGAAGATAAATGGGGCAGACGGGTTGGCACAAAGTATGACAGACCCGAGGAAGGCGATCTGACTTGGGAAGCCCAATCTTAAAGGCTGAAGGAGGGCAGGGGTGAGGGAAGAGCTAGGAAGTGACAGCACTAGGGTAGAAATAAGGCCTATGAAAATGGATTTTGGGGCCATAACATATGAGGATCAGGGATTTAAATAGGCAGGGCACTGTGACTGATGGCCTGATTGATTCATTGATCAACCAGTACAAGTTCATGTCCTGAAGAAGTGCAGCATCTTCTGAAATAAGACAGGCAGGTAAATAGATAAAGAGGTCCAATCTGAGCCATGCCCATGAGGGTAAGTTTTCAGGGGTCATAAGGAGATGGGGCTGTGGGTCAAAGGAGGTAGGGGAGGCAGACAGGTACAACAGCACTGCGTTATATGGCTGGAGGGGGCTCACTGGTCAGATTTATTTATTAGGAGGAGCTTGTACCAGTGCTGATGATGAACAACAGGGGAGGCAGCCTTGTTAAGAGGCTGCTGACACAGTTCAAACAAGAGATGGTGGAAGCCTGAATTAATGCAACAGGAATGGAAATGTGAAAAAGGGGTCAAGTTCAAGAGACTTTACATTTCCAAAAGGATCAGGGGTAGGAGTGAGGAATGAGGGTGAAGGAGAAGTCATGTGTAGTTTAGGTTTCCAGTATGGGAAGCTGACATGGAAGAGAAGAGAGAGTCTGGGAGAGAAGATAGTTTGTTTTTTGATATGTTACCATTGAGGAGACGATGGGATGCCCAGGCAGGGATGAGTAATATGTGGACAGATGAGAATATAGATCTGGAGCCCAGGAGGTGCCTGGGAAGGAGAGGTAGGTCTGGATTAAGACGTCTTTAAAAACGTTGCTGGTGGGTGGGCAATGGGATTCTTTTAGAAGACCTTGGAAGAGTGTGCAGCATCAATAGAAGCGAGGCAGAGGAAGAGGAGGTGCTCAAGAGTCTGGCGTGGATTAGTCAGAGAGGAAGAAGAGAAACAGGGAAAACATGTGGAGGAAGCAAGGAGGAGAGAGGTTCTAGAAGATAATGGGCCAGGGAGTAAATGCTGCCTAAGGTTCGAGAAGAATCAGGACCAAAAAAAGCAATTCCTTTGGCAATTCATGGAGAGGGATTTACTTTTCCAGACTTCTCCTACACCCTCATTCGTCACTCCTAGTCCCCTTCCTGTTGGGAATGTAAAGCCTCTAGAACTTGGTCCTTTTCTACATTCCCATTCCCATCGCATTAATTCAGGCTTCCATCATCTCTTGCTTGAACTGTGTCAGCAGCCTCTTAACAAGGCTGCCTCTCCTTTCTCTTAATCATCAACACTGTGGCTACAAGCTCCTCCTAATAAACAAATCTGACCAGTGAGCCCCCTCCAGCCACATAATGCAGTGCTATTGTATCTGTCTGCTGTTCCCTCTACTGGCAATATCCCCCTACCTCCTTTGACCCACAGACCCATCCACAGATTGGAATGAGTGAAGAGTCAGTGGGAGCTGAGGAAGTGGACAGGACCAGCAAGAGTAGATTATCTGAAGACATTCTTGGTAGTAAATGGCAGGAGTGAAATTGGGCAGTTTATTAAAAGGGTGTGTAGTGTATGAGAATTTTTTTTAAATAGAGAAACCTAAGTATCTTTGTAGAGCAAGAGAAAGGAGTAGAAAAGGAAATGAAAGTGAAAAGATCTGTAGATATTTGTGTTCTAGTGGTCAGAGTACATATCAGAAATGGTAGGATATATAGAATTCTTGTCATACACACTAGGAACTGCTTCAGTCATGTACTTAGAGCAAATTTAATCAGTAGACACATCCCTGTAAATGCCAATGTCACACTTTTCAATACTAGGCATATAAAGTAGGATCATACTATTTTATCTGTTTTAATGGCAGAAGGTTAGACCAGTTAGCTTTTGAGGTCACTTCTAATCCTAATAGTGTGTGCTTTCTTTTTTTTTTTTTTTTCTTTGTCTTGAGACAGGGTCTCACTTTGTCACCCAGGCTGGAGTGCACAGCTGCAATCACGGCTCACTGCACCCTTGACCTCCTGGGCTCAAGATCCTCTCATCTCAACTCCCAGTAGCTGGGACTGCAGGTGCATACCACCCTGCCTGGCTAATTTTTAAAATTATTTGTAGAGATGAGGTCTTGCCATGTTGCCAGACTGGTCTCAAACTCCTGGGCTCAAGCGATTCTCCCACCTTGGCTTCTCGAACTGTTGGGTTACAGACGTATGCCACCATGCCCAGCCTGATTCTTTTTATTGTTTTCACAACTATTTTACCAAACCAGTTCTTGGTTAAATGCTCAGCTAGACTATCCCAGCTTTCTTCTTATTACCTACCCTTCCTAGAATATTAGTATTCCCCAATCTGTACCAACTTCTGTGACAAGTTGCATATCAACCCTTTTGATCATATTCTCTTTATACCTACAGATACAGCCACTGCATCAAGCGAGATAACCCAGTTAACGCCTTCATATTTCTCTATCAGCTCACTTCATTCTTTTTATTTTTTTGAGACAGAGTTTCACTCTTGTCGCCCAGGCTGGAGTGCAATGGCACCATCTTGGCTCACTGCAACCTCCGCCTCCCAGGTTCAAACGATTCTTCTGCCTCAGCCTCCCAAGTAGCTGGGTTTACAGCTGTGTACTACCACTCCCGGCTAATTTTTGTATTTTTAGTAGAGATGGGGGTTTCACCATGTTGGCCAGGCTGGTTTCGAACTCCTGACCTCAAGTGATCTGCCCAGCTCGGCCTCCAAAAGTGCTGGGATTAAAGGTGTGAGCCACTGTGCCCAGCCTCATTTGATTCTTTTACACATCTGTTGGTATTGTAGTACTGTTGTGTGCTCCTCTCAGATAATCTGTAGCATTGATCTCAACAAGGACTTCAAAAAAATTAATAGATCACTTTAATCTTTTTCACTGGAAAAATTAAAGATATAGAATTTAAAATATAATAAAAGAGAAAAATATACAAGTTTAAATATTTTGTATTGGTTGACAGTACTAATGGGAATATAAATGAATATGGAAATTCTGGAGGGCAGTTTGTCTACATCTATCAAGTTTTTTTTAAAATTATTATACTTTATGTTTTGGGATACATGTGCCGAATGTGCAGTTTTGTTATGTGGGTATACACGTGCCATGGTGATTTGCTGTACCCATCAACCCGTCACCTACATTACATATTTCTCCTAATGCTATCCCTTATGCTCATCATCACTGGTCATTAGAGAAATGCAAATCAAAACCACAATGAGATACCATCTCACGCCAGTTAGAATGGTGATCATCAAAAAGTCAGGAAACAATAGATGCTGGAGAGGATGTGGAAAAATAGGAACACTGTTGGTGGGAGTGTAAATTAGTTCAACCATTGTGGAAGACAGTGTGGCGATTCTTCAAGGATCTAGAACTAGAAATACTATTTGACCAAGCAATCCCATTACTGGAAATTTACCCAACGGATTATAAATCATTCTGCTATAAAGACACATGCACACATATGTTTATTGTGGCACTATTCACAATAGCAAAGACTGGGAACCAACCCAAATGTCTATCAATGATAGACTGGATTAAGAAAATGTGGCACATATCTACCATGGAATACTATGCAACCACAAAAAACGAGGACTTTTTTGAAGAGAACCCCTATTTTGAATAAAGTTCAGTAAAGCAAAATGTGTCCTCAAGTATTGTCCCTTCAACTTGGAAGGGAATGTTTTGTTTTACTCTGAGTTGTCCTAAAACATGTTGCTTTGGAACTTGCTGGATTAATTGATGTGGAAATTGTTCCAGGAAAGGATATCTGGGAAACTAGGGGTGCTTCTATTGCTGACTTAGTAATTCAAATACTTTGGTGTTGGTCAAATACATTTACATTTTAGTAAGATATTAGTGCTGGTAAGGAAAAGGTTATGTTCTCTAATATCTGCATGTACCAGTGGTCTGGATAATACAGATTTGGGGATAGTGAAATATTTAGAATTCTTACCACATAGATCAGGAACTGCCATCCAACAAAGTAATACTGCACTGTTCTTGCTGAGATTGCCTGAGTTATATTTGGAGCAAAGTTCACCAGTAAATATGTTCCTGCAAATGCCAGTGTCATACCTTTAAATAAAATTGAAAAGAAAAACCAAATTGAAACCAACCTAAAGCTTTTTGTTGACACAGACATTGCCTAGAGACTGAGCGTTACTTGTAAAAGTACCAGTCGCCCCTCCCTATTATACTCCGTTTAATCAAATCATCCCTGGATATCTTTCACATTCACCTGAAGGCATTCCCTTTACAGGGGAATAGAGCTGGGAGATGGATGGGGTAGGACATAACTTCCAATTTTTCTGTTGTTCTGGATGACTCCTGGCCTCTTCAGGGAAGCTTTTCCCAGTGATCGGGAAGATCAGAATATGTGCTATGAAGATGTGAAAACACATCCTAAGCTGACCGTTTCCTCATGGGCCAGTAAGTGCATGATAGATCTAGACAGTCTAGATCTGTCTAGATCTAGATGGCACAGTCCAGAGGACAGGGAAACTCATCACATGATGATCTGCTCTACACTCACTCATCCCTGGAGCCTTCAACACACTCAGGTGATTTAATAATTTGAAAATCTGGTAATGAGCATCTTTAATCACTGCCATTTATTGGATTCCTTTTAGCAGCAATAACGAAGGTGAACGCTGGCTTTGCTATAGGAGTTTAATTAATCCAGTCTAGAATATAGAATTCCAAGGTTAGCTTAATAAAATAAAATAAAATAGAAACCACGTCATAAACCTATGTAAGGAGTATGTTACTGCCATCGGTTTAGCATTACTTAAAATGACAGAAGGGAATGTGTATAGGGGGGTTAGGGGGTGAGGCCACCGAAGAAGGGGTGAAGGGAGGACTTGCCCTTCCAAATAATGTTGAAAAGTGCTTATTTATATATAATTAGCAGTCTGGAAAAAACCCTGATATAAGTAGCATATTTTAGATAGCACACTTGAAAACATAATTCAACTTGTTTCATCTCTGAGGTCAGTGCTATTGTGAATATAATTTATAACCAACATTGACTCCAACCTGAAACAATTTGGTTTGTCTACGAAGTCTCACAATTTGAAGGCACCAATTTCCTGTTCCTCTTATGCAAATGACTTAGGTTTTGAACTCTAGTTCCTGGAAACAAATAGCATTTGATTTTTCGCAAAAGCTAGACAACAGCAATTCAGGGTATTGTAGAAGCTACAAGGAAGTTTCCTCTAATGTAACGATTTATTCTGTAATACTTTGTGAAGACAGATTATATGCAATCTTTAAAGCTATTTTGAATGAGAACTTTAGAAACAAAAAACAATATACATTATTAAACACTGTAATAAAAGCAAATGATAAAACCATATATAAGAACTTGGGAGAAAATTATTTGTCAGTCATGTCTTTTCTTTGGAAAAAAATTACATAATTGTTCAAAAGTAGGTTCCTAGGAGGAAGAGATTTAAAAAAACCTGTTTTCTAAACTTGGTATGATAAAGTAGCATAAATCCATTTAATCTACTTTAAAATGTCTCAGATACTTCTGTTTCTTTTGTGAAATCCAAATTTCTAGTTATATCAAGTTCCTCCATCAGATACTTCTTTATCTCTACTAATAGTATCTAGTTTCTATTAACTTTCTTGTATTTAAATTTAGTTTTGAGTAGGCAACACATGTATATGGCAAAATTCCAACAATACACAAGGCGGACTGGTGAAAAGTTAAATCTCATACACCCTGATGGTTCACTAGTTTTCCTCCTCAAAGTCACTACCACCACTAGTTCCTGGGGTTTTCTTTTCAGAGATGTTTTATGCATGTGTGTATAAGTGTGCATGAGGTTTTTTTTTTTACATAAATAATTGCATATTATATAAGCTTTTCTGTATCTTGCTTTTTTTTTTTTCTACTTAGAACATTTTGGAGGACACTTCACATCAGTATATGCAGGGTGGCTTCATTCTTTTTAAGTCTACTGGTGTTCTATCTCGCGGAGGTAGTATTGTTTACTGAATAACTTTCCAATATTGTCCCTGTTTCACATTCTGACATATACCTCCCTACTTCACATCCACGTCTGCATTTGCCTTCCATGACTGTTCCTATCAATGTATATCTTCATTGCATTTCTTTTTAAAAATTTTTAATTTTTGTGGGTACATAGGAGGTGTATATATTTATGGGGTATATTTCATTGCATTTCAAAACTTTTAAAAAATATAAAATGGCTGATGCTTTTACAGTTATTCTTTCTTTCTCTCCTTCCTTCCTTCCTTCCTTCCTTCCTTCCTTCCTTCCTTCTCTCTTTCTTCTTTTTTTTTTGAAACAGAGTCTTGCTATGTTGCCCAGGCTGGAGTGCAGTGGTGTGATCTCAGCTTACTGCAACCTCTGTCTCCTGGGTTCAAGTGATTCTCCTATCTCAGCCTCCCGAGTAGCTGGGACTACAAGCATGTGCCACCATGCCCAGCTAATTTTTGTATTTTTAGTAGAGATGGGGATTTACCATGGTGGCCTGGGTGGTCTCGAACTCTTGACCCCAGGTGATCTGACCGCCTCCGCCTCCCAAAGTTCTGGGATTACAGGAGTGAGCCACCATGCCCGGCTGCAATTGTACTTTCTAAGTCCCTTTCACATATATTATTTCATTTGGGCCTCACATCACTGTGTATCTGCTAAGTAACTTTATGGCAGTTCAGCAGGTCACACATTCTTTCTTCTTAATAATTTTTATTTCAGCTATCTGCAATAATTACAAAGGCAGTTCTGGATAGCTGCCACCAGTTGTATGCTGGTTTATTTGGCATCATTTATATTTATGTGATTTACTGTCCCCTTTATGAGTTATATGCACATTTTTCATGTTAGTCATTTGCACTTCCTTAAATAAATTCCTTTTAAATTTATTTATATTCTACCTTTTTCTAAAAGTGATATGAGATATCAGTTCCTGTTATTTTTATTTCAGTAAAGCTACATATATTCCTTCTTTTGAAAGACACAGATTTCTGACTTAGGAAACTTGTTAGTTTACCTTCTGCTGGCCCGTTTGCCGAAAGGAGTAATCTGGACATGTAAGATCCTCTGAAAAGTCTGCTGCCAGAAGTCTCAGAGCTCTCTTGTATGTTATTTGTTTCTTTTCTCTTGTTGCTTTTAGGATTCTTTATCCTTGACCTTTGGGAGTGTGATGATTAAATGCCTTGGGGTAGTCTTCTTTGGGTTAAATCTGCTCAGTGTTCTATAACCTTCTTGTATGTGAATATTGATGTCTTTCTCTAGATTTGAGAAATTCTCTATTATTATCCCTTTGTATAAACTTTCTAATCTTCTCTTCCTCTACCTCCTCTTTAAGGCCAATAAGTCTTAGGTTTGTTCTTTTGAGGCTGTTTTCTAGATCTTGTAAGTGTGTTCCGTTCCTTTTTATTCTTTTTTTTTTTTGTCTCCTCTGACTGTATTTTCAAATAGCCTGTTTTCAAGCTCACTAATTCTTCTCCTCGATCATTTCTGCTGTTAAGAGACTCTGATGCATTCTTTGGTATGTCAGTTGCATTTTTCAACTCCAGAATATCTGCTTGATTCTTTTGAATTTTAAAAATTTCTTTGTTAAATTTATCTGATAGGATTCTGAATTCCTTGTCTGCGTTATCTTGAATTTATTTGAATTTCTTCAAAACAGCTATTTGAATTCTCTGTCTGAAAGATTACATAACCCTGCCTCTCCAGGATTGGCCCCTAGTGCCTTATTTAGTTTGTTTGGTGAGGTCATGTTTTCCTGAATGGTCTTGATGCTTGTGAATGTTTGTCAGTGTCTGGGCATTGAGGAGTTAGATATTTATTGTAGTCTTTGCAGTCAGGGCATGTCTGTACCCTCCTTCTTTGGAAGGCTTTTTGGGTATTTTAATGAACTTGGGTGTTGTGATCTAAGTTTTTGGTCACTGTGGCCATATCTACATTAGGGGGCACTCCAAGCCCGGTAATGTTGTAGTTCTTGCATATTTGCAGAGGTACCATATTGGTGGTCTTGCATAAGATCTGGATGAATTATCTGGATTAACAGGAGGAGACTCTTGTTCTCTTCTCTTACTTTCTCCCAAACAATCTCTCTCTCTCTCTCTCTCTCTCTTTCTGTGTGTGTGTGTGTGTGTGTGTGTGTGTGTGTGTGTCCTGAACTGCCTGGAGCTGGGGGCGAGGGGTGGAATGACATAACCACCCCTGCGGTCACTCCCACTGGGACTGCACTAGGTCAGACCTGAAGCCAGCACAGCATTGGATCTTGCTCAAGGCCTGCTCTGTCCACTGCCTGGCTACCACCTATGTTCGCTCAAGGCCCTAGGGCTCTACAATCAGCAGGTGGCAAAGCCAGCCAGGCTTGTATCCTTCCCTTCAGGGTGACAAGTTCCCCTAGGCCCCAGGTGGGTCTGGAGAAAACCTTAGAAATTTACCTGGTGTTCTATTCTACTGCAGCTAGGTCGACACCAAAACCACAAGGCAGAGTCCTTTCTGCTTGTCCCTCCCCTTTCCCCAGGCAGAGGAGTCTTTCCTCTGTCCGCCACCCTCAGGTACTGCCAGGGTACTGCCAATAGTCACATAAGGCCCAAAGGCTCTTCAGTCATCTTATGGTGAATGCTGCCAGGCCCGGCACTACCCTTCAGGGAAGTGGGCTCTCCTGTGGTTCAGGGTAGGTCTAGAAATGCCATCCAAGAGCCAAGACCTGGAATCAGGGACCCCAAGAACCCTCTTGGTACCCTACCCCACTGCGGCCAAGCTGGTACTTAAGCTGCAAGACAAAATCCTTTTTATTTGTTCATCTCCTTTTCTTAAGCAGAAGGAGTCCTTCCCCACAGCCACCACAGCTGTGAATATGCTGGGCCACACCTGAAACTAATACATCTCTGAGTCTCACCCAAGGCTCACGGTGAGTACTGTCTGGCTGCCACTGCTGATTATTCAGGGCCCAAATACTCTTTAGTCAGCAGGTGATGAATCCTGCCAGGACTAGGTCCTTCCCTTCAAGGCAGTGGCTTCTTTTCTGGCCCAGGGTGTGTCGTGTGTCAAGAAATGTCATCCAGGAGCTAGAGTCTGGAATGGG